TACAAAAAGGTAATGAGAAAAAAAAACACAATAGGCATGCAGTCGTCAAGTTTCCGACAGCGAGGGAAGTACTGTCTAAACTCTTTAGACCAATTTTTTTCACTAGCAACCATAAAGCATGCAAATGTCGACTCATTTAGAGGTAGCAAAGTTCAACTTTTGCGACCAAGGTTCAAAAAGTAGATTGAGGTTATGTACGAAATACTTGATGTAATTATTTCTTAAAAAATTAATAATTAGGAGAAGGGGGCCTAAAGCGGGCACTCTCTTTAGTTTTGGCGTTTAAAAAGATGGTGCGCCCTAACCGCGCGGACATAGTGCTTTCCCCCCGCATACTTCACATCCGTCGCCCGGGTCTCCTGCGAGTACGCAATTATGCACTGTGATAAATACATAATTTTCGCATGATTTTGAAAAATATTTCAAGGTGTGTCACATCTGTTTTTTCTATGTTTGTGGTTTTTAAGCTAAAAATAAAATTCGTTAGTTAATTTGTGTTTATCCGGCTTCCATAAGATAGCAATTAACTGCCACTTGTCGCATCATTTTGAGTTTAGATGTTGTTTGCAATTTTAAATGTCGAAATGGGCAAAGCGGGCAGGGAAAAGTGGACACTCGTCCCGTTTGCCCTTCTAATGTATTTACTAAATATCTATAGTTGTTCCGAAAAGAAGAACAAAGGCAATGTGAACTCTGTGAAACAAAATATAAAAGAAGAACTTGCTGAAGATAAAACGAAGTCTAAGAAGTGAAAAAACCAAAAAGAAAAATACGAGATATATCGCTTTAAAAAAATTATATTTCGAATTAACAAACCTTCAGGGGACCTCCATATTTTTAATCATAACTAGTCTGCAGTTTTTACAAAAAAAAAAAATATAAAGTTGACCAACTTTTACATCACACTTTAACCGGCACATTGATGCATTTTTTGACGAAGTGCTGAAATGGTTTGCATTGAGAGAGGAAGTCCCCTGGGAAAAAGTGTCAGTTTTCTTTCAATACCATTTATATTCCTAAAAAATCCATGACTGAAGTAAATAACTCTCGAAAAGTCAGAATCTATTGAAACGAGAAATCGGCATTAAACGAGCTTTGATGCGGTAGCAGAATACAGGTTTACTTAGATTCTGGTTTGGTTGCTGACTTCAATATTTTTAAAACGATGTTTTGAATGTATTTAGTATAGAGCGAAACTAAACCAGACGCCAGCCTTAACCACTGCCTGGTTTGCCCTAATTGAATGCCCGCTTTAGCCCTCCCCCTCTATTATTTACTTCTTAAGGTATTGTAAGAGTATTACATCTATATGGAAAATAATTTATGTATTTTAGGTAGTTATGATAATATGCTGGGGCATGTCGCACCGATGAACTATGCAAAATGACACTCGAAGACATTGAAAATAAGGACACTTATTCGTGATTCGAAAAATGGAACATCCCGTGCTGGTAACTCGTCAAATGAGGAAAACTCTGCTCCTTGTATACCTACCATTGCTGATGAAGTTAATGTGGAATTAACCAAAAATTATAATCAAAACAATTGTCCTAGTTTAATCAATAATGTTACGAATTGTTGTAATTATACTATTACTATTAATATAAATTAAATGTGTATAAAACGAATTTGAGTTTTTGTCCTCTAGGGGCGTAAGTAGTTTCTTTGTTACTCGTTACCAATAGTGATTATTGCCTTCAACGTAAAATCAACTTATGTGGTTAAATAAATAAATTGAAATAATGGTAAGACTTACGATGTTGGGAGTGGGAAATATTTTTTTTTTCGTAACATGTGAAGAAATAAATGAAGAAGCCAATCAGTTCACGTTCATGTGTTTGTGCAATTTTTGACAGAAAAACTAAAGAAAAATGGACAAAATAAAAATATTTCTTATTTTAGAAATTGTGGAAAATATGTGTTTCACGAACATTAAAGGAATGTAATCTGTTTCGATAAATTTAGAGTAACATTTTGAACTTTATTGAAATATAATATAATTGTATTTCAAGCAGAACTTTTTCATTTATCTTGATCCATTAACGCCATATGATTTACATAAGGGAAAAAATATATATTCATCAAAGATATGACAATACACAAAAAAAAACCTAATAGAATGAATCCCCGAATCTCTTGATTTCCCATCCAAAGAAAATTTGGACATTACAATTATTGTGTTGAGTTAATTCTGTAGAGCTAACAGTCTAACATATTTTTTATCTGCTTTAAAATCTACCTACTTAGTACTTACAATCAAATTTATTTAACCTGAGTTATGAGTATGACTACTGAAATCATTTCCGAAATCATATTTCCAGAAATTTCTAAAAAATTATCTTAGAAGCACAATCAAAAAGTTGTTGTCTTTTTTTTATAAAAATTTTTAAATTGCCATAAGTAGGTACCATAACTTTTTAGTTTTCGCGCAACATTAGGTATGACCATCAGATTTTTTTTTAGAAAATACATAAAATTTATACTTTTAAAATAATTCTTGAAGCTTAACTCGATAATACTTCGACAATCTCATTGCAATTTTTTCAGTTATCAAAATGAAGAAAACCCCTCTTTACGTTTCAAAAAAGCAATTATTCACGTGTTTCTTATTGAAGCTCACACTACTAAAATATTTCGACCAAGCTCATAAATCCTTCGAAATTTATTGAAAGATGTGCTTCAAGTATGCAACAGCGTCTAACTGTTCTGACGTATCGTCGAAGTCTCCACATTGTAACCGCCGAAACGTAAAGGTTGCTCATAATTCAAACAGGTTTCAGTGCTATATAGTTTTTATGTTATTACTGGTATTACCCAACAATTTCTATGAATCTATAGTAACTTTACCTTTTTCACCAAAAAATTATGCACAAAATGTGTGCTAAAAGAGAATGCTATTGCTAAATATCAAAATAAATCAATAAAATTTCTTCTCCAGGTGAAGCTAGATTTAAGTGTTAACTATGAATTTATTAATTTTGTAATATACTACTAAGAAAAATGTAACAAATCGTATCCAGCACTTCTGAGAATCATAATCAATAAAATTTATAATTAACTGACGCAAAATAAATGACAATAACGCTGATTAAAAATAAAAAGCACCTCATAATAATTCCTTCTATAAAACAAGAAATAAACATGGATCTTTTTGTTATTTCTGCATTAACGTTCACGCCTGAATACTTTCGCTTAGGCAACACATTATACACATTATAAGCAATTTTGATTAATCTATTGAGCTTTTTAAATTAGCAATCACAGTTACTAAATACAACAACACAAAAATCGCACTGTGTAAAAATTGACAATAAAATGCAAACAAATTAGAAATAATTTATTTAATCCTTAAACGAATATAAAGAAAATAAAATAATAAATAGGTAGGTCGCCTTAAATAAGTGCTCAAACTGCCCGTCGACTGACAGATAATCTTCGAAACTATGGACCGATTCATGTGAAATTTTATAGGTACGTATGTTACGAAATGTATGTGGGCCCTGGTTTGATCTTAGGTATTTCCAAACCTTTTTACTTCCAGAATTTCTGAATGTAAGCTAAGGAAGTGTTGTAATACATGTTTTTTTTTTATCTCTACAGTATAACAAAACGGGTTTCCGTTTCCGCCTACCTGTTTGTCGTCTGCCGTTCTCCTCGACTAGGAAGTGATCCAATCTCATTTCTGTCCCTCTCTTAGCTTTGACGTCGTTCATTGCCTTTAACGCTGTTGTTCTAGCTAGTAATATGAAATATCTATTCGTATTATTTTCCTGTGTATCTTTAAATTCACTCTCGTTCTTTGTGACAGTTACCTTATGCATTGTGTGTACCATTTCGATTATAAAGGGTTTATCACCCATATTTTCAACCCCTCTTTAATAGTTGGACTTGTAAATCCTGATTATTTTCAATAAAATTCTCCAGTGTTTCCTTGATTTTAAAGTACTTAATTTCCCCTCTTATCTCGCTCCAGTTGTTCTATTCTTTCATTTTCCTCTCTTAAATCTCCCCATATTCTCTTTTCAAGTCTTTATCAACTTCCAACGTTATCTTCGTTCATTACGTAGCGATTCCATTCATCATTTCTTCATTTTTGTCCATTATCTCTTGCATCTTCTTAATAATTAATTCCTCACCTTGGTTTTTGTTTTTATTTGGCGATCTTTTTGTTATTTTGCTTGCTTCTTCTTCGCATGTGTTTTTCTGTACGCTCCGTCACTGGTCATCATTGTACGCACTGGATCGACACCCAGTTTTTCAGTTATTGTTTGTTTATCCTTAGCTTTCTGCTGGTGAATTTTGTTCATGTTGCAAAGTCGCACTTTTAATATATCACACTAATTAATATATTCAGTTAGCACTAGTACAATCATTTATCCGTCACGAATCTCACTTTTTCATGTTATGTTTTATACTGCTTTAATCCCGTACCTGCTAATAATAATTTTTGTTCAAATTGGGTGTTGGTAGTTTTAAATTTTTCTTTAGAACTCGCATTAACTATAGTACTTTTAAAACAGGATCGTTAACTGGATAAAGAAAATTTTGTAACTCTACTTACGGTTTTGTGAAGAATTAATACCTTCAGAGTTTCCGAATAAATTTGCCATAATACAATTTTCATAATACAATTTTTGTTGTCGTTTGTTACATAAGCTGCTAAAAGTAAAACCGTTTAGGAAATGATGAAGTTTTAATTTGTATGAACCCAAGAAATTATTTAACTACTAACTAAAGACTTACTTTACTTTTTTTTTACAAAAGCTCAATTATTGGAAAACGTTTCTTTAAAGTCTAGTAATTAATATTTATATTAAAATTCCATTAACTGAAAGACAGAATTCGACTCTGGGGAACACAAATGAATTTTTTATATTATTCTCTTTTGATCTAGCGACACTACGAGTATTTCCAACGCTTTAATATAAAATTCACTGAAACGAATAATTATAGGTTTGTTAAAGAACGCCCATTCGAAAACTCGAAAGTAAAGAATAAAAATGAATCAACCACTAAAAATGAACACAGTATTCGACATGACGGACATCATAACAGACAGTTTTAAAACAACATTAACGATAATGAGATATATCGGTTTATTCTATGACGAAAAACAGGCCAAAATCTTAAAAATCTGGTCTTTGTCTTTGTATCTGTCGGTCGTGTTAGGGACAACATTGGCTTTTGTTGGGTTTCTAACCCAAAAAACCGACGATATTATGCAAATAAATCAGATGGTGGTATTTTTAGTATCGTCGGCAGCGATTTGTGTGAAAGTGTTATTGTTTCTGGTAAATGGTTCAAGAATGAAAAAGTGTATTGAATATTTTGGAGACCACCGTTTTGCCCCCAAGACAAACGAAGAAAAAATAATTATAGACGATTGCCATCGAGTTTGTAAACGAAATTTTAGGATATACGGCAGCATATTGTTTGTTGCTGATATTTGCTGGAACATTTTGCCTTTCTTTGAGAAGAAACCAAGACTACCTATAAATATTTGGTTACCTTATGAAATAACAATTAAACCGGCGATTTTTTATACAACGTACTTCTACGTTGTTACAGGTAAGTACAAAATTTGCGTGAATATAAAATTTTATTTTGGATATACTTATGTAGTAATGATTTATTTTGGAGTTGTTACTACAATGTTAGAACCACTGTTAGGGGGCTTAGCATACCATGCGACAAGTCAACTCAAAATACTGAAGCACAATTTAAGCAGTCTTGACAAATATCGAATACCAAACGATTATGACTGTTTTTCTGGTTATGGAATTTTATCTAAAGCATTAAAACAGTGTATAGTTCGTCATAATAACATTCTGGAGTAAGTATACAAAATTCGTGGCTTCATATGTTGTATTCTAAATTTTAGATTTATTATGGAGTATGAAAACTGTTTCTCCTGGTGTACGTTTTGTCAAATTGCGGGCACCACGATCGGATTGGGATTTTGTTGTATTGGCTTGACAATGGTAAAACAAAAATTAATATAAAAGATTTGTTAAAATAAATTTCAGGTTTCTCCTACTAGCGTCAATGCTGTTATGTTTGTCATGAGTTACGTAGTCATATCTTTTCAATTATTTTTTTACTGTCATTATGGCACATTGTTATACGAGGAAGTAAGTAAGTCGAATAGAAGATTTGTATTACATGTTCCTTTTTTAGAATGAAAAATTAATGAGCGCTATTTATATGAATTCTTGGTATGAATATGATGTTACTGTAAGAAAAATATTGTTAATCATTATGGAACGTTCAAAATCGCAGATAACTTTAACTGCTGGAAGGGTAATAGAACTGAAGTATCAAACGTTTATTTCGGTATGTATATTTTTTATATAATTTGAAATTTTATTAAATGTTTTTATTCATATAGGTGCTGAAAACAAGTTACTCTTTGATTGCAGTTATGAACAATTTTCACTAATTAAGGCACACGTATATTCTAGCAAATTTAACACCACCAGAATTTGAGTTTCTATTTAGATTACTCTTAAAACTCAAATGAATGATATTTTTAATATGTGCTTAGTTTTGTTTGCAAACATTGAAACATCCAATTTGTACAAGAGGTTTCACCTAGAATTTACCTCGTTTTCCAACTTTGTGTTGAAGATGATGACTCCTGAAATGGAAATACCTATCTACTATTAAAAAATTAAGCCTTTTTCTTGAATATTTCTGAATAAAGTTTTTGTTTTGCAAGAAATTGTGTAGCTAAGTTTTTAAAAATATTTAAACAAATTGATGCAATTCGTACAGTTTGTTCTGAGAGAGACAAATAATAGCAAGCGTTGGTGCTATTTTTAAGTGCAGAGACAACGAGAGAGTTCTCGTGAAGAATCAGGCTTTTGCAAACAAAATACCACAACCTAATATGCGTAAAGATACTTAATTACAGAAAATGCCAATGAATAATTATTAGGAACCATACTTGGAAGTTACTTGAAGAATGCATTGTTGTAAAACTTTTTTTTCCACTAGTAGCATTACAATGGCTAATTGTCGACTTGTCTAGAGGTCTGTAATTTGGAAAATTGTGAACCTTGGTCAATAATGTAAACGTGAAGTTGGCCACCTAATGTGACAACTGTCCACAACTGAGACATAACCTGAAAACGATCATTTTGGAAAATTTGCTTTTAAATTATGCCCTGGAATGATTTCCAAACCCTGAATTGATTATAAATTGAGGATAAATTGGTGAAACAAAGTTGATGAAGTTGATGGGAGTGAAAATGAAGTTTACGGGACTGAAACTGAATCATGGTTCCGATTTGGTTTGACTTGATTTGCCGTAGATGAGCTTTGGACGATTTCGGCGATTTTTTTTTATTGAAGATCGAGCCGTCGTTGTATCCTTCTGCTATGCTGGAGGATTTCCATTCCCCGTGTCGCTTTAACGATAAAAGGTCCATACATTTTTCAGCCAAATTTGTCGCGGTCGCGTAAGTACGACGGAATGAGGAGGGGTACATGATGGTTCACTTTACAACATTTTTCACACAAAAATTTATTAAAAACGGGAAATATGGAGGAAATTAAAACAAAAGTTCTGGACCATTTCTGGATTGTCAAAAAATAATAAAATTCCAAAGCTTACTAAAATGACGTGAGTACACGTTTTTATTGATGCACTTCAGAAAAAACATTTTGAAAATTCGCAAACCTCAAATGGGCTACTAGTGGAAAAAATAGTATATTAACCACGTTTGTGAAGCCAATTCTAGACCTCGCGCTTTAGAGCCCTCGACGCTGCGCGTCTCAGGTTTTAATTTGCGCTCGGTCTAGAATGTCTGTCTTCACAACCTTAGTTAATAATATACTATTATAACCTTACACCAAATTAGGAGGTTAGATATTATATGAAACTGCCTTAGTAAGAACGAAAGACATTTTTTTTGATTAGTTGTAAAGTCACAACAAATTTTTTTTTCTTGTGAATAGCCAACAATAGTTCCAATTGATTGTTAAGTCTGGAATTTATATTACGATGCTACCAAATACATGGCTCATGTAGCTTAAGTGGTCTGATGCTGATTTCATTAAATGAGAAAGATTTTTTCGAGAAAATGTTGATAAGGAAATTCAAAAAGGATTGGTAAACGATAGAACAGCAACATTCCAAGAGACGGAAATTGCGAACATAAACCTATGATATTCGTAAAAGTTTTAGCAACTATATTAATGGACAATGAAAAAAGTAACTTACCAAAAAATATTGCTATTATTTGTATTTTCACACATTTAGAGCGAATTTCTTTAATAAAATAACTTAAAAGAATATATAAGTTTTTAATTCCTAGTCAATTTAACCGCAACTACAGCTCTAGATATGACAAATTTTCAACAACTCTTGTATTAAAAGGTGCAGTGCCATGAGAAAAAAAATGTTGAAAGTTGTTTCGACAGAACTTTCCTCACCCCTGGAGTACAATGAAACATACCCAGCATTTTCGAAAAATTTTTGATATTACGAATTTTATTTTTTTTATGCGACCCCCGTAAGTTGAAGTAAATATAAATAAATATGTAACGTTACAGTAAAAAAAAACTCAACACGGATTCATAAACTACACTATATTATTTCTTCATCAATTTTTTGGGGGGAGTTAAGTTATTTTGATAAAAATTTACCATGTTTTTGATAATACAATTCTAAAACAATTGCAAGATTTCAAAGTATTCGCTTTTGTAGATTCAAAACTAAATTGCAAAATGTTGTTTACTTAATTTAGATTTTTTTTTTCAAAAAAAATTTGGACGTTTCAGATAACAACTCAACACGGATTCATAAACTACACGTGTAGGACTATGTTATTTGATATGATTTAAAATCCATTCATTATTACTATGAAGTGACATCATCATATATAAAATTTGACAAAAATCTGTCGGGTAGTTTGGAGATTATCTGTCCAACAAAAATTGATACAGAGGGCGAACGGGCAAACAGACAGCAAGACAGAGAGGTAGACAGACGGAAACGGAAGGCCTATTTTTTCGTACTCTAGGGGTCATGATGTCATGACCCTTCCTGAAAATATGAAAACGACAAGTTGCCCAATGGACTCGAACCTCAGAAAGCAAAAAGTGGTCGCACAGAATTTCTCTCGGGACATACAGTCCAATAAATCCAGCTTCTTTGAAAAATTATCCCAAGAGGAATGTTAGTACATTAAACCAATTAATTAAAAAACAACCACCCATAAAAACGGTTTGATTCTTGATTTTTTAAAATTCGCATTTTTTCTGTTGTTTTTTTTGTACGTGTGCATTAACCTGGAGTCAAAATTAGTTGGTTCTTTTCGAGATCTCACAGAGATTGGTTTTATTTTCCTCGAAGAACTGTCAGGTTACATTTTTTATTTAATGTTCTTTAAGTTATTAGTTAATTTTAAGCATATTTCAGCGTGAATGTGGTATTGTAAGCCGAAAAATGATTCGTTCTTGCCTTAATTGTAATACTTAAGAGATTTGTCGAAAATACACTACTTAGTAGATTATGTAAATTTCAACTGTAACACTGTAGATATCATGAAGTTAAGTAAAATTACGAAAAAAGATGTTTGGAAATTTTATTTCTGTTAACCTCTCGTTATATATTGAAAAATATCTAGATAATAGCAGTAACAGTATCATAAGCAAAAAGTTCCACCAGAAAATCAAACGCGCGGATTTCGCGTCACGTGTCCGAAGTCGCCCAATATGAGCACTCCGCTATCGAATATCCTAGTGAATTGTGAAAGCTCTGCTTATATTAGGATAAAAAGTTGTTCTGCAATTTATATTTTTTGGGAAATTTTTGATACCATGGGGCAAACCTCAAGGCAGACTTATAAACCACAATTTCAGGAGTTTGTTATTTTATAAAATTTAACTCCTATTTGCCAATAATTGTGAGGGTGAGTAGACACATTTTGGATAGTGATGTTCCTAAAATACACATAAAATTCGACAACAATCGGTCTACTAGTTTATAATAAACACAAACCAACAAACGACAGACGACAGAGAGGGAAACGGACGACCTATTTATTCGTGCCCTAGGGGCCATGAAACGTCGAGAAAACATGAAAGGAAAGACCCTGTTGCAATACTTCCTTAGCTTACGCTCGAAAAGTATCAATTAAATGTTAAATATAAACCTTTGAATATAAAGGTAGAAATTACGTGTCAAAATTTGAAATACGTATTTTGAAAATTACCATGTAACCAGTGGTAGAAAACGTACTACAACATTATGTTGAAATATACTTTCCTGATGAATGAAGCGACAAATTTTGACTCTAACTTATAGACATTTGTGGAATTATATCATCTTTATAACATGAGCAGTAAAATTTTATATGAAGGGAGGAGTGCAATGGTTTGCCAATCTATGTCAAAATGGGAAAAATCAACACGTGAAGTCGATTACTGACATCAAACAACTGATCTACATTTACAGTCATCGCAGATTTTATAACTAAAATAAAAAATCAAATGTAATTTTCCTTTCAAACTACCAGCAGAGTATTCTTTTCGGCATTTTGAATAAAATTTCACGATTTTTTAAAATTTTGTTTTCGGTGGATTAATGTTTTTACTGACTGAATGAAATGTGTAACTGTTCTTAAAACATTTGATGTGAAAATTTTAGGAACAGAAAAAATTATTGTATTTTGTTCGTATATATTAATACCACTTTGTTTTGAGTAAATTTTCTACGTATAAAAGTAAACAAACATATGCTGTTTGAAACGTTAACAGTTATACACATTTCAATGTCGATAAAAATTTTGAAAATTTTAATTTTTTTACAACCACTATAATATTTTTCCTGTGTTAGGAGACGTAAATAGAAAAATGAAAGGATATCATTTACCCTATACAGAAACGATTGCATAATTAAACAAGTCAAACGATTCTATGATGTCCGACCTTAATTGTACTAGTCTTCTCATCTGAACATGTCCTTATCTAACTAGGTAGTACTGCACCGGTACTACTTCCACGCACAAATTTTTAAACTGATTACCTCTGAATAACCACGATCTCGCGTCCTATTTTAAACTGTAGTTGGCGCTGAGTTTTATTAAGTTTAAAGTGCGCGTGCAACAATATTTGGAAGGGCTGTTCTTGCACGTTATGGTGATTGGGACCGAATGTTCAGATGAGAAGACTAATACAATTAAGGTTGAACGTCATAAAATCGTTTGGCCTGTTTAATTGTTAAAACGTCTTCTCATCTGAACATTTCTTCATCTAACTAGGTAGACGTTTAAAGAAATATTGTTGTGCATCTGAAAAGTATGTATACATATACGCGTACACAGAAAAAAACTAATAAACTATATTATGTTTATCAAAAAATGGACTGCAGAAATGGAGTCTGAAAAGGTTATGTCAGTAGAGCAAAGGCAGAACGGTGAGAATTAAATGTGCCATACCTGTGTGCCGATGTATCCAGTAAGTGTTGAAAGAAACTCAAGATTTCAACATGTGTAGCACATAATAGAGTTACTCCTTTCTGAATACAGTAAGACCACCACAGTTTGTACGTGACTTTATGCTGTTTTAATGTGATTGGAGCAAAGGAATTTATCATTGTTTCGATGATTGACTCTGGCAAATTTCGTTGCTTATATGCCTGCCGGAGACAAGTGCTGTTGTGAACATAAGGGAATTTGCCAGTGGGTGAACTAGACTGAAAGGAGAAGAAAGTAGTTGAGAACTAGGTCCCAAATATATAGGATTAACAAGTAACATTTTTGGAACAGTGGGTACTACGGTTGAGTGGGCCATTGCGGAACTACCAAGATACTCTCTGCTTTATCAAGAATTATCTTATGTAATATTCTCAATATAAGCGATAAAGGTGGAAACGCATAGAAAAAGCATTGGCTCCATGACAGCTAAATGTGTCAACCGCTAGCGAACCGGTGTTTAGAGACCAGGATACATATGTCGTGCATTTATGGTTTAGGTAGGATGCAAATAGGTCTATCTCTGGACTACCAAATGTCGCTGTTATGAATCGATACGCCTTTTCAGGTAGTTCCCATTCTGTTTCTTTCGACAGAGACCGAGATACATGATCTGCTAAGTAGTTATCTTTAAAACTTAAGGCGGCCACACACAGAGAGGGAAGACTGCGCAATCAAATGTGTGCACGCTTGTCGTAAGTTATTACATTGCATTTGTATTATACTAGCGGAACCCGGCAGACGTTGTCCTGCTTGTGTATATATTTACTTTGTATATATGTGGATATAAATGTATGGTCTGGAGCGCAGAATGTGTTGTAGAAAACTGAATAATAAGATAACTCATATTGATGCTATTCCATTTATTTTCATTAGTATACACAATGTACACATTTTTGTATTAGTAATTCACGTGAATGAACAAAATTTTTGACTATTGTATTCGCTATATATGCTAGTCCAACAGGTATAAGGTTATATGACCATTATAAAAGTAGTTGACCGCAAATAAGTACCCCCTTTGTGTGGTTCGCACTAAGCTTACCGGTTGGCAATAAATCGTCTTCTCAACATTTCTTGCTCATATTTAACAGGGCCGGCTTTCAAAGCGAGTGGTGATTTCGGAACCCTCAGCGGCTGCAGGTAGTAAAGAAATAGTGGAGTGGTGGATTTACATATTTAGTGAAAGCCGCCCCTGAACGAAACCACAACAGCCGGTCGAGCTCCATTGGACACGTTATTTACGACCCTAAAACCTTTTCTATTGTAAACAACTTAACTTCGACACAATGGGATGATTTTATGATGGCCATATAACCTTATAGCTTTTGGTCCACTATAACTGAAACAACTTGAACACATTTTAATCAATACTAACATCTATCGTAACGCTAGTGGGTAAACAATATTTTTGGTTTTTCGATTTGGTGTATAGACGTACAAAGTTTTTGGAATTCCTACTCTGGAGCAAGCAACATACAGTTGACCATGCGAAAAACATGGATTTCCTAAATTTAATCCGGCAACGCGCAGAGACTGCCCTTGGGCTTTGTTGATTGCCATCGAGAAAGCAAGACGCACAGGAAACTGTAGTCGTTTGAATGTAAAGGGCAAATCATTACGAACCATTGGAATGCGCGGAATCAGTTTGATTTTTTGGATGGCATTTTCAATAATCTCTAGTAATTCACTCTTTGTTATTACTGAGGATTGTAGACAGTGAACATCACTAATGATTTTATTTTGCGGTCAATACGATTTTTGTTGTAATACCAACGAAAACAATGCTGTCATTGGTGCCGCCATATATCTAATACTTGCTAACTCTTCAGAAGTAACATAGAAACGGTGTTCACGGACAAAGGGAGACGGAAGATATTGTTTTCTGTCTAGAAAAGTACCGAGGGTCTGTGCGCACGTACACAAAATAGAAGCGAACGTATGAAATGTCAAAACACATCTAGTCACGTTATCGACTAAAAATCAAGCAAGTACGAGTATATGAGCAGTACTGTTTGGTACTATAGAGAGACAAAGAGGTCCGATGTATTGCTCTGCCGTTGTGTTTTCGGACTCTTTTGAGGCCTGATAGCAATATAGTAGTATTAGATATATGGGTGCCGCTGATTCTCTAAGTTCATAATACTTTAACAGAGAGGTTGATGTGCTGCAGTGCCATCTAGTGGCAAGTTACAGCAAAATCGATGACGCGAAAATATTCTCCATGGTCAAATACCAACGTATATCAATTTTCATGAGGATCGGTTGATTGGTATAGAAGTTGATGTGTTGTAGCACCATCTAGTGGCGAGTTACAGCAAAATGGATAGGGCGAAAATATTCTCCATAGTCAAATGCCAACGTGTACCAATTTTTATGAGAATCGGTTGAACGGTGTAGAAGTTAATGTGCTGTAGCGCCATCTAGTGGCTAGTTACAGCAAAGCGGATACCACAAAAACCTTCTCCATGAAAAACCACTTACATGTCCCAAATTTCATGGTGATCGGTCAAACGATTTCGGAGTCTATCGATCACAGATATATATACCAACATCCATTTTTATATATATAGATAAAAAAAAAAACAATTGTAAAATAAGTCGGTCGTCATTTAAAAATACGACGCTAATGAATGAAAACTCAAGCGTGCAGCGATTTGTCTCCACACACACTGAGTTTTCCCCGCACAGTTATAGCTGTGCACGATAACAACAGACTGCACATGCCAAATGCTTCCCCACACACTAGGAGTTTTAACTGTACCCCGTGGCACGTACGTTCAAGTCTTGACTCTCCTCTCTGTGTATGTGGCTGCCTTAAAGGCAGGAAAAAGTATTAGAACCCCGAAAGGAAATAATTGACAGTACCAGAAAAGTGTCTGCAAGCGGTAACGTGGTACGTGGAAGCGCACAAATGCAATAATGACGCGCAGCGTCAACTAGAGCCTAAAATAGGAAGCGAGGTCGCGATTATTCAGAGGACGTGATCAGTTTAAAAATTTGTGCGTGGACCTAGTACCGGTGCAGTCCTACCTAGTTAAATAAAGAAATGTTCAGATGAGAAGACGTTTGTACAATTAACGATTTATATTTTGAAAGATATTAACAATAATGTTACTGAGGTACACAGAGATCATAGTTTCTTATAGAATTTACTTTATATAGTCACATAATGAACTTAAGACATAAAAAACTGGTCTAAAGTTATTTAGATATAACTTCTCTCACCCTTGGAATACAAATGAATAACAAATGAACAAAATTCGATCCTTCGATAAGTTGCAAGTTAAATTTTACGAATTTGGTTTTTTTATGATAACTCCTATTAAATTAAAATAAAGATATACTTAACCGTTAAAGTAAATGTAACATGCTAGCCATGTTTCAAGCGAGTTTTCTATAAACAAAATGTGATGACGTCATCATCATTTTCGTAAGGATTAATAATAACAATACTGTATACTCAAATTTTCGATTAAATGGAGTGAGCCGTTGTTGACTTGCTCAATAAAATAGTTTCGTTAATTTTATGGGGTCACCCTATAATAAATAATTCTAAAACATATAAACGTATTGATAAGCCAAAGTATAGATTTGGAGATGACGTGATTAATTTTGTGGGAGGTATTAAATGGATCAATTGTGATGAACTACTTACCACATTTATGCTAACCTTAAAGCGTTTACAAAATGTCAGACCATTCGATTTTGCAAATTCAAAGTTAAATTGCAAAATGTTATTCGATTTTTCCAAAAATTTGTCTAGGGCAAAAATTCACATGGATTCATAATCCACAACTGCAGGAGTATCTTACTTAATAAAATTTGAATAAGATTTACTATTGTAAATTTTGGAGATGACGTTATCCCGTTGGGATGATTAGCCAAATTTTGGTTAGCAAAATCAAAATCCTGCTCCACTGAAATTATGCCTCATTATGACGGTTCTCAATTGTCATGAATATTATTTGTAACCTGTCATTTAAAGTTGTTGTTTTTATTGTTTTAACGTTTTTCAAATGTGAATTACAGTAATTCTCGTTGATCTAAGCCAAAAACAACAAAACAGTCGTTCTCAAAACTCTTGGTAGTTGTGTACGAAAAGTTTGCTTTTGTGCTATGAAGCGAAGACTGTGAAAATGGTTTATTCTGCTGAACAAGACACTATCATTATCTTGTTACGGCAATGGAACTTCGTAAAGGAAGAGTGTGTGTGTTATGTAACGGCTTGTAAGTAAGAATATCTGACCAAATACCGTGATTTAATAATTCAAGAAACATCGTTAGACGCTCACATTAGAGATGTAATCAACAGATTTGTTTGAGGTGGCAGTGTCAACAAAGAGAAATCTTGTGGAAGACCTTCAGTATCTGAGGAAGTTGTTGATGGTTTGAGACGACTTGAGCAGAATCCAAAACATCTTTGACAAAATTTCTTCAACAATCAGGAATTCCTGTTGCAACATGAAATTGAACACTGGGCATTGACGAAAGAATTACAGAACATTTCTGAAATTAAAAAGAAAGTGAACATGTGCCTTGAAAAAAATGGTGAACATTTTCCATAATTACTGTGATGTTTAACCGCAATAAATTTGCTTCTTTTTATTGTAATGAATTGGTTTTATTTTTTAAAAAGATATGAAGCATTTAGGCAACCAGTTGTACAGATACGTGTGATCTTTGTCATGCGTATCGATATTTATTCGACAGACAATCTGCGAAATTCCTGGACCTATTGTT